TGTCTCATCTGTCAGAGCTTAGAGCCCTCCCTCTGAATGTTTTTTGTATTCTACTGCTGACTTGTTACTGAACATGATGAACATTACACATTTAATGTAGAAATTTTTAAAATTCACCAAAAGCCCTTAAAAGAAACTATTTGCTAAATGATAATTTTAAAAATTTGCATTTCTTTTTAGCGCAGTAACAATTTCTTAAGTCCTCTGATTATGAAAAGTCCCTCTGCCATCTTGTCTTAAGTTTCCAGACACTTTTGTTGAAACCAGGCAGAGGACTAAAATCAAAGTGAAGTATAATGGTATCTTCCTGGACCATTAGGGATCAGGAATAAAGACTGTCCAAAGACTGACCTTCAATTTTGAGCACTGAAGTTTAAAAGTGGACAGGTGGAAATACTGTGTTCTTCAGTGCCCTTTGGTGCAAGATATATTTTAGGTTGCAGAGTAAGTGCCAGCAGCAGCAAAATTATCACCCCCTCCTGCTACTCTAGTAAGTCAGCAATGGCCCTTCTGTGGTCAGAATGGCAAATTCAGCAGCAGCTATTCGACAGGGATTTGCAAAAACTTCCCCATGACTATTAGGAATCTTATTCAGCAGTGTCTTTGAAAACCGATTCCGTGCAGAATTAACTATGTAGAAATGACCTCATTTGTGGTGAAAAGTGTTTTAAACAAATCTAAGCTGTAATTTTTCTCTGTGTATATTTTGTCCTTAACAGTGCAGTATCTATTAAGTACCTATACAAATATGTAACATTCATAAGTTTTAAAGTGGTTTGGAATTTTATTTCCATATTAACATTAAAAAAAACCCATGGCTTTATAGAGTCAGCTCGCCATACAAAGCCACGATACATCACTTAGGTTTGTAATGAAAGAATAGAATTGCAGCTGTGTGAGTACTAGAATACCCAAACATGAATTAGACTCACAAGCATTTGGCAATAGTTCAGAAAAGGAGCTTAATCTGGTTTCATCTGAGACTGCTTTTCTCTGTTCTACAACATCCCCCCAAGATATTGTGTCTGATATCGGATCACAACGTAATGAGAGTGACGCAAAATCAGAGAAAGCCCTAAAAAACCAGGGGCACATTTTTTCCCCAGAGATGTTTTTTCCCTCCTTGGACTTATTTTCTTCCCTCTCGCAAGTCCCAAGTTTAAAATTCAAGGTCATTCATATATTAGATAAATTAATTTTAAGCCCAAAAAGCCACATTCATCGTACTGTGATCTCATTCCTATCTATAATTAGGGGTAAATATAATCTTCCTTTTTAGAAATGAACCACCCACCCATTACATTTAAAGAGCTGACTGAAATGAAATAATAGTTCAGAGCAAGATGATTTTAGTTTAACAAGAAAAAAAAGTTGATAATTTAAGCTTCAAGCAGCTAGTTCTATTTTTGATTACCATTCAGTTATAAATCTAATTTGAGATACATACTGCTTTTCTGCTTCTGAAGTTTAATTCATGGTTTACATTCTCGGTTGCATAAGCAAGGTTTAGTGGTTGATCAAAGATGTTAGGAAGCATCTCTCAAAAGGAATAGGGGCAAGGTTGAGACTGTCAGGACAGTCTGAGGCCCAGATTTATGTAAAACAAACAATTTTTATTGAAACAGCAGTGGTGTTTGAATGGCTGTTCTAGAACTGGCTCTTTGCTGGAGAGTTGGCTGCAGGAGCTCCAAGATACTTAAACTCAGTTGATAAAAAGTCAGTGAGTTTTATTGTTTGGTTAGGATATTTTAAGACTTGAAATTGTTCGCCTTTGGATGAAATTAAGGGGAAAGACGTATCTCATCACACCATGGACAGTTAAGCAAAATGCTAAACCATGGGTTTAAGATTTACAGGTTAGCTCTGTGAGAGGCCACATCTTGGCTTCCAGTATTTCCTGGCAGACTCGGGCAGCTTACTATGGGGGCCCAGAATAACCGCAGAGCATGAGGTTGCACAATGTGAAAACCCTAAAACCTTTACAATCTTATTTAAGACAGCAGTGAATTTGTCCATTTTGAAAGAATGCTTCCATTAAGCATGAATTTATTTTCAGAATTACAGACATGTAAGTCCATATATAAATGAAAACCTTACCCATTTTGTGACTATTTAATTTACTTTCAATCAAATGGTATTAACTTTTTCAAGTATAGAAAGTCAAGGTTTTCAGCCTATGGAAATTTTTTTCATCTTTCTCATGGCTACAGTGTTAAGTATGTGACATAAAGGCCAAACAATAGTAAATGGTCATTGTTCATTTTACAAGTATGTTCTATAATAAGAACACATATATTTTTATCTTCATTTGCCCAAAGAGGGTGATTATGGCCCCTTTAAGTGTAAGGAAATATTTATTTTTGTTGCTTTAGAAGAATGATTCTATTGTCCAAGTGAAAAAAGGAAAAAAGAAAAGGAAACAAGCAGGTCTAAAAAGAAAGAAACAGGAACGTGCTCTGTTTAAGAGAATAAAAAAGGATTAGTATGAGCCACTAAGTGTGTAAGTGCTATCTGGTCTTTGTACTGTGTCACTCTACGTAGTTCATGTGGCAGAGTTGGGTGCATGATTTATTTATGACTGGCCTATGAAGTGATTTTCTGTTAAATTAACAATAATAAGGTCAGCCACAGCCAGTTAGCTGCCTTCTTTTTATCATTTTATATTTTTCACAGCTCTATTGTGAATGCTGCTAAAATCCAGAGTAACAGCATGATTGTTTTTATGTTGACCTACTAAATGCATTTACTCTCTGGAGAATGAAACATTTGCCACCAAGTCCAAAAAGAATTAACCAATGGTTAGGCTCATGAAAAAGAGAAATACCATTTTAGCATATATGTTCAACCCCTTTCTGAGTATTCTGTATATTTTTAGAAAAAAAAAATGGAGACAAAGAAACAGTATCTATCAACACAGTATCTCTTATTGATAAATAGAAAGTTATCGATAATTTAATTTTCAAAAGGATAGGGATGTAATTCAGTGATAGCATGCAGGAGGCCCTGAGTTCAATACCCAGTAATAGTTACTAATGATGATGATGATGATGGTAATGATAGAAACCATTTTCAAACTTTTTTTTCCAAATGTGTGAAGATTCTTTTATAGATTTACCAAACTGTAAGGAGGTTGTGGCTTCAGATCATTCACAGCTTTATAGATGGAAATTTCAAAGAAGATTTGGATTGTGACTCAAATAAATACAGACTTTGTTAGTAAGAATTGCCAAGGGTGAAATTTCAGGTTTAGATTCTAAAATTTTCAAATGCAATTTCTAAGTGTTAAAAATTGTTTGATGTTCTACTTTTTGATGCCTGGATGATAGACAACTTTGCTTTTGAAAAGAGCCCTGTATTTTAATTTGCCATTGGATAGCATTTTAATCTTTAAGATAGGCAGTAATCCTGCATGAGGACATCAGCTGGTAAACAATGTAGTTTCTATCAGATATTTATATGGTAAATATAAAGATACTAGCAAGAGTTTATTATTCAATATGTGCTTTCAACCTTAAAGTCCCATCTTTGAAGTTTTATTTTAAAGTAATGTTTATTATGTGTCCCTTGAAATAGTTGCAGGCTGGAAGCACTGAAGGCAAGCTTGTCAGTAGCTGATTAGTTCTTTATATATTACTCATCCAACACTCACAAAATTCTCTTGCAATAGAGAGAGGTCTCTTTATGATATTTAGCTATATGGCGGTAGTAAGGAGAGCTTTGAATTTTTGATTTTCCAGCTTATGGGTCATATTTGACCAACTGCTTTCACTAGAAGACATGCCACTTTGTTGAGCTATTTAGGAATCAAAAAGACTGTCTTAATTTAAAACAAGGACCCTTTGTTTTAGTTGGTGACTGCCTTGTGAAATTTTTCAGTTCTCAGCGGGTTAACCAGGGAACAGGGGCAGAGTCATAATTGGCCTATTTAGAGTATTTTGCATGTGAATAGTGTGTTAGTGAAGCATCCCTAAGTCTGTTGTGAGTGACATGGTGATTAGAATTTAGATTAGGGAAAACACATTCTGTACTTTATCAAGGACAGTAATTAGTTCAGTCAGTAAAAGTTGATTACAAGTAACGATAAAGTTAGATTTTTTGGTACTTAATTTTAAAATTTCTTTATTAAACAGTAAATTTGTTCTTAATATAAATGGTTCTATCTACACTTATTGCATATCAGAATAATTAAAAGAACAGTGTGCTCAATGCAAAGTATAATCAGACGATTTATATATTATGGGTAAGTTTGGATGTGGTTTTTAGAAAATGTAATATGATCATATAATCTTCCTTGTGTTATCCTTTTTGGAAGTATAGCAGTTTGTCATGCCGTGATAAATTAATGATATTTGTGAAAGTTTTCTAGTGTTCAGGTAAAGGTTTAATCTGCAGGGATGTGTTTTAGCTTCTGACAGTCCTTAGTTCCTGTTGGCTTAGAATGCTTACTTTTTCTGTGATTTTGAAAGTTAGCATGAGGATGTGGAATCCCTCTTGGTTCCGCTGGTGTTTTATCTTCTGTGGTGCCGGGAAGGCTGCGGAGGCTGAGGATATGCTCCTGCATGAGGAAGGTTCCCAGCGCAGGGGACATCCACCCTCACCCCCAGTGCACAACCCTGGGAGTCCTGTGCACTCAGAAAGTGAGATTCTTGTTGGTCCTTGTAAAGGAAGGGCACGAATAGTTCCCAGATATAAGCCTCCATCTTACAGAAATGCCATTTTCTTAGGAAATTTTTTCATCTGAAAAAGCAAAAATATGTATGGTTTAAAGAGCAATCATCTCTACCTTACCCTCAAAAGTAAAGAGTTAAAAATTCACCAGTTTGAGAGGAGCTTCTTAGACTGCTTTTCTCTTTTTGGTTTTTGTTTCATTATTTCAGCTTTGCAGATGCTGTTTTCCCTATTGCACTGGTTTTCAGAAGTACTGTCAATCAAGTAGAGGGTGGTGAGTGTAAAAAAAAGTAACCTTATATGTTTATTTTTTCATTTTTTTAACCTTTCAGCAGAGTCTCCTTGGAGGGGACATGGATATGGGCAATCCAGGAACCCTTTCGCCCACCAAACCTGGCTCCCAGTACTATCAGTATTCTAGCAATAACCCCCGACGGAGGCCTCTTCACAGTAGCGCCATGGGTAAGGTCTTCCTGTTTCATTCCTCGGTATTCATTAGTAGTTTTTTTTTCCCCTCCTTTAAAAAAAAAATGCCACTCTCTCATCCTGTATCCATACCCCACCCCATAAAGTTTGCCTCAGTTTTCAGGCTGGTGACACCTTCTCCTCTAGGAGCACACTAGGTGGATATGTAAATAACTTCCAGTAACAGTAAAACTTGCTTGGTGTCTGCTCATTTCTGGGTTTCTTTTGCCTACACACAGAAGAAACCTTAAAAAAAAAATTAAAAGCATTAACAAGTGAAATAGTGTCTTTATTTGTATGAACAAAGTAGAATTTGATTTCTGCTAGAATAAAACATGATAGTGGGACCAGCAATGTGCTGGGGTGATGATGTAAGAAAATCTGGTGTAACCTCAGTGGCTTGCTGGTTTGAAATGTTTTAGTTTGGAAAGTGGGCACGTGGACGCTCACAGCATCTTCATTTTCTTTCAGAGGTGCAGACAAAGAAAGTTCGAAAAGTTCCTCCAGGTTTGCCATCTTCAGTAAGTGCTGCTTGTTTTTGCTTTTTGTGTAACTTCGTGTTGGTATGAAGGAGAAGGAAATAAATGAGATTCTCTGCACACAGAGCAGTGCGTTTATCCAGAGTGTGGGAGAGGTGGGAATGACCTGCACGTCCAGCCACCTAACCCGCATGGGAGTGATTAATTGCAGGACCGGAAGGACCGGGTGGTTCTGTTGATATTCCGCAGGTTAAGCTGTGAAGAGAGCCTTGAAAAGGTGCCTGAAGTTCGAGGACTTTTACCTGCACAGGGCTTTCAAGAGAATGAGTATTAGTTTCATGTGTTGGTTAAATTCTTTGTCAGTATTATGATGATTTATGGATTTGCATGCGAAAGGAGATTTGTGGAGCGGATTTAGGAGAAATTTACATGGGTTTCAGCTCAGGGTGCAGGGAGAATGTCTCTATTTTCTAGAGAGATTGCTAAAGGGCGGCTGCAAAAGTAGCTGTTCCTGTCTGACATACCAGGTGAAGACTGCGAGAATCCAGCCATAACCAAAGCATTCTGGGTCTTCTTAGGAGCTGGAGTTGTGTTCAGGAGTTACTGAGGCTCTCCAGGCCCCAGCACAGCAAAAATGGGTTATAATCACACGAAATTCATGATCTCTTCATTTGTATTCTTACGTGTTTTCATGTTTTGGATCATAGATGTTTTATTTAATTTTGTTTAGAACTGATCTATTTCTGGTAACTTTTTCCATATGTAAAATATAAATGTTTCCTCCCCCTTTCCTTGTTTCCTGTTTCCTTCCTCCTTTTTCTGTTCCTCCATCCACTGGTGTATGTGTGCAGAGTTCTAATTTTGTTGAGTGCTTGTGTTTGAAAAGTGTGGCTACAGGGCCTGATAAGCACTTACACTTCAGCAAAAATCATATTTAAATTTCTGAAAATATGTTGCCAATCAATGCTTACATATTAGTTTTATTTCATTTTTAATAAATTTGAAGAATAATGGGATTTGCAAATGTGTTAAGATTAGATTAACACACACACCTGCATATTTGACTTGATTTCAGTTCAGCTCATCCAAAAAATTATTAAATGAATATAGCAGGATAAGTCTTATCAGACAAAACCACAAATTTTATATGCTGATTATCACAGACTTGATAATGTTGCAGAAGCATCACAAAATTATCTATAAATATGGAAAAATATTATGTCAATAAAACTGCCAATGGTGTATAAAATAGTCATTTTACACTACTCATAAGTGAGTTGTTATTCTTTGAATGTCTGTGTTGTATTGAAATTGACTTAATATTGTCAAAGGTTTTTTGACCTACGTCAACTTAAGCTTAGTGGTAGATTTAATGTAGGTGGAATTTTAGCTTTCAGTAGTCTTTGTAAGAACTTCAAATGATGAAGTTCTCACAGCTGTTTACATTGTAAACATACCTGAAATTAATAAGGACAATATTAAATGGATCTCTAAATATTCTAAAACAACACAATAAATTTATGCTATAAAAGCTACAAAAACAAGCTATTGTATCCTATGTTAAAACTAGTCTCACCTTAAAAATAGCCTCTTCTGTTTTTTCTTGCTTAAATTATGCAGAAATATACAGTTTTTAAGGAGTACATTAGTGGTACATTAGATATTAAAAGCAGGTCAACAATTTTTCTTAATTCATTGTAAATTTTTAAGTATTTCTGTATGACTGCTTACTAAAGAAAATTTTATCAGTATGGTTTTTTGTTTGCTACTAAGACAATTTATGTGTTGCTGGTCTACAGTGATATGTTCAGAAATACAGTGTGTTTTTCTTTCTTTGTAATAAGTCAATAATTGGAAATTTAGTTTGTATTATCTAATTTTTGGCTCTTGGCGGTCAGTTTAAGATTAACTCTGCAGAGAGTTTTCTTGGCTAGATGTTTTAATGCTTTTTAAGGAATATTTTGGTAAATAGCCTTCCTTTGAAAGATAAAAAGGGGGAGGGAAATTCAATTAAAATGATATTTTATCTTTTTTTTCTTTCCTGAATAGGAAGAATCAGGTAGTTTGAGTATTTTGAACATCCAATTACTTATTTACTTGATACTTCAAATATGTCTCAGTTCAGTATAAATCTGGGTCATCTTATATTAGCTTTGGTGTATATATCGATTGCTTGTTATAAATAATTGCTACTACTTATAAGTAATAATACTTATAAGTAATAATAATTGCTTATTACATAATAAGACCTCATGACTTACCATCACACAAAATGATTTAAACTGGATTCCAAGAAATATTCTATACTAGACAATATAACAGCTTCACTCCAGGAAATCTAGATGCCATATTTTTAGATTTTTGCCATGCTTATTCTTTATTACAATTCAAATAACATTGAGTATTATCCAATAAGAAATACTTCTAGGACTTGTTTCGGTATGTTATGAGCATTTGTATAACATAATAAAATACTGGGAGTAATAAAAGGTTTCTTTTGGAGTGAATACTACTAGATGAAGACTATATATTTTCTTCAGTACATATTTAGCAAGATACATAACAATAAGCCCGTCACTGTCTACTGTGTCAGCTCTCTCTCTTTCCTCCTTTTTTGAAATGGGCCCCCTCTTTTTCATAAGACAAAAGAATTTTACACTGTGGTATTCCGTGGTCAGGTGGCATTTGTGGCACCACTGTAGGACAGAGGCTGAACTTCCTTTGGCAGCATTGGTCTGCGTCTTCAGCGCCTATCAGGAGAGTGGTGGGATTGCCTGGCTCTGTTTTGATAACTCTGTTGCATCTGTGGAGAGAGAAAACATAAGCCTGGCCCGACATCATGCCAGGATCCAGAATGTTTGTTTGTACTGCATCTACAGACCTGAAACCACCTTAAAAACATGGCACAGGGCCGTGCAGGATCCATGGGCAGGGCCTGCAGTTCAAGGGTGACAGGAAGGGAGAGAGCAGAGCTGGATTTTGTTTGTTTGCATGTTTGTTTGATTAAGGATAGGCTGTGGCAAAGTGACAACTATCCAAATGGCCACAAGAGCCCCCTTATTGCTGCAGAACATTTTCATATTCTCTGTTCAAATTTGGAATACTGCTCTTTTTTTTTTCTTTTGTCACATCCACATTTCTTGTAGTCCTCATCTTCTGTTGAGAATTCAGTAATGAAGCTTCATGTTGGTCAGGGCCAGCATTTGTTTTGCACGTCTAATCTCTTGAATCTACCTGTGAACTTCTTGCCTTGTTACAATTCTACTTCTTGGTTTCCTGATTTTCAGCCCTATTTCATTGTAAACGTAATACATCGCAATTTAATACCCTTTCTAGCAAATTCATGTTTTTCTATAGCCTAATGATTATGTACATTGAGTGATAGATTCCTACAGAGCAAAAAAAAAAAAAAAAATGTACTGTATTCAATTGTAGTTTAGGGGATATGATCAGTGATTCTCATAAAAAAAATTAACATGAAAGTTTTTTTAAAATCCAGAAAGTTGCAATTTTGATACTGGTTATACCATACTATTTTAAGATAGTCTCATGCAGGAAAAAATAATCTGAATTGACATTGTCTTTCAGAAATTATATTGTGCCCATTGACATGTAAAAACATAAGCCTTTACCTTCTTGTCAAATGCATGCACATCTTATCCTATTTCAGGCACTGGTGGAGTATGTCTCCACTTCTAATCTGGTTTGAGATGTCAGTAATAATCTCATCTTGACTCTATTTGGGATTGCTGGGACTTTGCAATTTCCTGGAAATGGGAAGTTTTATTAAAAAAGAGTTCACGTCTGTTATGTTTAGTGATATTTTCAAAAACTGCGCTTTTCTGTAAAGTCTATTTTGTAAATTAAATGGCCTTTTTTTTTTAACTTGGGAAAATTTGGTGAACTTTTAAGTGGTCAGAGATAATTTTGGATGTATGGATCCTAGAGAATATCTCAGTTGTCACAAAAGATTCTAAAATAAGATTTAAACACAAGAACACTTGTGATATAAGGTGGACTGAAAAATAAAAACTAAAGGTATAGTCATACCATATTTACCAGTTTGCATAAGCAAAAATGCTTAAGTAAAGTAAAATCTTTACATCTGGATTAGGCTTGCTTTACAAAGAGATTATTGAATATTAGGAAAGTAGATAATGCTAACACTATCAATTGTCTTTTGTGTTTTCCATTATATTAAAGCCTCTATATTTGGAGGTTTTAAATACTCTGTTAAATTATTCTTAAAGATACCATGGGGGTAAAAACCTTTTTTGTTGTTATTGTTTGATGGGCCAGATACTTGAAGAAATCACAGTTTAGAAGAAGAACAATTTTTAAATTGTTTTTGCCTTACTAGAGTGTCCAGAAATATATATGATTTTATATATGATTTTAAAACGTGATACTTAAATTTCCCCCATTACTTTTGGTATTGATCATAAAGAAATCAGAGTGGTGAAGTCATAATTTTGCTTTTCATGTCAATATATTTTAACTTGAGTAATAGTGCAACTTTTTAAACTGATATATGTATGTATGTGTGTGTGTGTATATATATATATATATATATATATATATATATGAAAGTGTGTGTCACAAGTAAACTGAGTGTCAAATACCTGCGCCCTGTTTTGTGTAGAGAATTTTAGAAATAGCTAGAATATAAAGTATAAAAGGAGAGGTGTCTTCAAAGTTCTTTCCTAAAGAGATATTTTTGTGAAGTATGAACTGTAGGTGTTTACATTAAAATGTGGTTAGGATAGCTCCCAGCATTCAACTTTAAATCTAGTGTGCCCATTTTCTAATTGAAGATTGAAATATGGGATTGGATATTAAATTGGGCCTTTGAATCTTGAAATTTATAGACAGAAAGACTTTAAGGATAATGCAATTAAATAATCTCAAACAGGACAAAACTTTTATTCACATACTCTACACAGTACATATAATGACACTGGTGAACACTTTGAAAAAGGAGAAAAGATTAATCACTGAAAGTATTTGTTTTTTGATCCAGTTGATACTGAGTTCACTAAACC